GGACCTCATGGCAGCAACATTAGCCACGATGAACCTTTGTATGGGTTATGGGAAGTTTCTGTATTTCAAGTGCAGGCTGTCATGGGCCAAGTGAGAAGATCTCTGTAGACCATCATGTCATCTGCCGTGTGTGAAACTGAGAACTTGTCAAATTTCAATCAATTCCTATCAATATCCACGCCAGGAAGTTAAGAGCACAAATCCAGTAACCCAAACAATATGTCCAAATAAGAACATCCATGACCAACGTAATAAACTACTCATATCAAGTGGGTTAACCAGCCTATCAAATAAGTGGAAGATTCATTAAATTGTGAAACCTGCCATAATGTGATGTGCTTCCAATGCCAATAAGAAGTAACCCATCCACTGGTATTTAACATCTAGACAAATAAAGCATTGCGTCAAACTCTTCTTAGGTGTATGAATAGTCATCACTATATTAGGAATCACAATTAGGTCTACTAATAATTGTTGGGTTAGAAAGAGAAATATATGCAGGGATACAATATTGTACTGGACTTAAACATGCCGGACCTTTAGGAATTCTTCAAGCTCTAGCAGATTGTACAGAATTACTTTTCAGAGAGAATCTTCTTTCATCTATAGGAGATAGTCGTTTATTAAGTATCAAGGTCATTAAGTAACCAACTATTTGCACAAGTTCAATTTTTGGTCCAAATTATTGTAGCAGCAAGAGATAATAGGCAAACAACAATTTTGTTTAGTAGCACATCATTGCTCAACGTCAAAACAAGCTTCTGTAGCTGTTTCATTCTAAAATGTGGATCTTAAATGTTTCTTCTCTTTGTCCCCTTTGATTGGTGATCAGGAAAGGGGAAGGATAATGCTGAAATTTGCAGAGTTAATTGAGGAAAATATAGAAGAATTGGCCGCCTTGGAAAGTATTGATGCTGGGAAACTCTTTGGATTCGGCAAAACCGTTGAAATTCCTGGAGCAGCAGAAACTCTCCGTTACTATGCCGGTGCAGCAGATAAAATTCATGGACTGACTCTAAAAATGTCTAGGGAGCTTCAGGCATACACACTGCGTGAACCCATTGGTGTTGTAGGACTTATCATCCCCTGGAACTTTCCATCTGTTATGTTTTTCATGAAGGTTTGCCCAGCATTGGCTGCTGGGTGCACCATGATTGTTAAGCCTGCTGAACAGACACCTCTGTCATCTCTCTATTATGCTCATTTGGCCAAGCTGGTAAGTTTAAATATTCAATTGCACGCTTTCACTTTCCAAAGCAGATCACACAGCACTTTGTCAATGTGGCCAATTAGTCACTTTCATTCGGCTGTATGTTATCCTCACCTGATGATTCTTCCTCAATTTTTCTCCGTAACCTTAAATAGGCTGGTGTCCCTGATGGCGTGATCAATGTTGTAACGGGGTATGGACCTATAGCTGGTGCTGCCATTAGTTCTCACATGGACATCGATAAAGTAAATATCTAATTTACTTATTAAATTTGTATTGGTGATCAGAAAGTTGGTAACAGTACTAAATCTAGCCTGCCTCATACCCTTCTAATGGTACTGTATGTATAATTGCTCATTGGTGCTATTTGCAGATTAGTTTCACAGGTTCCACAGATGTAGGACGTCTTGTAATGCAGGCTGCTGCAATGAGCAATTTGAAACCTGTCTCACTTGAATTAGGAGGCAAGTCTCCCCTCATAGTATTTGATGATGCAGATGTTGATAAAGCTGCAGACCTTGCTCTCCTTGGAATTCTATTTAACAAGGCAAAGTCAATTCTTTCAGAGTTTTTCTTGTCACTTTCATATTAACTAAGTTCATAGCTAAAAGATATAATGCAGTGACTTCTTTTTCCTTCTTCCAGGGTGAAATTTGTGTGGCTGGTTCTCGTGTTTTTGTTCAAGAGGGGATTTATGATGAATTTGAGAAGAAGTTGGCAGAGAAGGCAAAAACATGGGTGGTTGGGGATCCTTTTGATCCAACTGTTAATCAAGGACCCCAAGTATAAATTTCTGATCTTTATGATTTTCTTCTGAAAAAATTCTCAAAATGAAAACATCAAAAAGACTAATTTAAGAGGAAGAATTTATAATCACATTTATCAATCAGCTTGCCAAAGTAGGAAATGTTTCTTAAAATATTCCATCTACCTCAGCCCCCTTACGTATGCTTTGTGTGTTGCAGGTCGACAAGAACCAGTACGACAAGATACTTTCATACATTGAGCATGGCAAAAGGGAAGGCGCAACCTTGTTAACTGGTGGTAAGCCTTACGACAGAAACGGATATTATATTGAGCCAACAATATTTACCGATGTTAAGGTAACCCTCATTGACTCTACACCTGCTTGTGTTTTCTAATCGGTACCAGCTATACTAATTTGTTGTTTCTTGTTATTGGCTTGAGCAGGATGACATGATAATTGCAAAGGAAGAAATTTTTGGGCCTGTTATGTCACTTATGAAGTTCAAGTAAGTGGAATCAATTTGCAGCATCTTTTTTCTGTCGTAATGTTTCTGTTTTAGTTTTGCACAATTTCTTTAGATCAACTAGATTGTTCACTCTTCACGCCATGTATCTTCTTCGCCTGTTAACAATTGCAGGACTGTCGAAGAGGTGATCAAGAGAGCTAATGCAACAAAATACGGCTTAGCTGCAGGCATCATGACCAATGACTTGAACATTGCCAACACCGTGTCAAGATCAATTCGCGCTGGTGTCATCTGGATTAATTGTTATTTTGCTTTCGATAGGGACTGCCCTTATGGAGGGTATAAAATGAGTGGGTTTGGGAGAGATTATGGAATAGAAGCCCTTGATAAGTATCTTCAAGTTAAAGCTGTTGTAACTCCCATCCATAACTCTCCTTGGCTGTGAACGAGGAAATGTATTCCCCATTAGTTATTGTATGCTACTTAGCTATGCATATGTACTGTATTGTCTTCCCTTCAACATGGATTTTTTTTTATTGTAATATTATGTTTCAATGGGGCAAAAGGAAAGAAAGAGATCTGTTTTATTCTAAAAGAAATTCTCGTCAAAAAGAAAAATCTAAAAGAAATTAATACAATTTGATGAGAAATTGCTAGGGATGGAATTCAGCTAAGAATCTGTATTCTAGTGTGCTTGAGGTCACGAAGTTATTCCTAGTTTTGAACTATGTTATCGTTGTGATTTTTATTGAAAAAAAAGAGTTAGCTTATAATTTGAAATGGACAACCAATAGGATATGATAGTTAAATTCTATTATTACCCCTCAACAATCAACATACATTTGATATAAATATAGCACCCATAACAAGGTTATTATGGTCACTTAATGTCTCATTAGAAAGTACAATTACGCCTTTTTGGTGAGACCCACTACAAACACTTAACATGTATCTAAATACGGGATGACATCTAAAAAAATGTATATAACAAGATTAAAAAAAATAATTGGATTAAATTGACGTAGGATTCAAAACCCAATATAATCCAACCTAATCGTTCAAAGAAACTTGCACCATATGGCATTTGTCACGGTTGTTCCGCCTATAAACCCATTCAACGGCCAAAACTTGCCACTCAACTGAGGCTCATTATTCTGCTTGTGGCAAACTTGGGAAACATGTTTGTGGCAAACATTATTCTGCTTGGTGAGCCGTTGGGTCAGTATTTCCGGCAACGTGGGAAACATGTTATCCATTAGGATAGTGCAGTTGATCACTTTCTGGTAGGCTTGGCCCAGCCCATTGACCCGCCAACCCTTTGTCAGATAGGCAGGCCAGGCCCGATTCCATCCCCTACATGGCTCGCTCCATCGCTACAGTTTATCGTCTGTAATTGTTGCATGCTATATCAGCACTGCAACCCTATGACCTGTGGCTTTTTTTATTTTTTTTATTTTTTTTTAAGGTTGAAAGTGTTCAAATCAATTTACACGTATTTCGATTAATTTTCTTCTTGATACGAATAAAAGTAAGCTTGACCTGTGGCTTTCAATCAACAATGTCTCCTGACCTTACTAAATAAGTTTGAATTTGCCTTATAAGAAAGTTTTGTGTATATTATTGAACAAGGCGTGGGCCCTACTCAACCCACCTACTCCCAAACCGAGCCCAACAAACAAACCCTCTGTTTCTCGTGGTTGCCAACCACATCCAAGTTCATAAGCGTAAATTCAACGTTAGGTAACCGATGCTATCAGATCCAATCAATTTTGATTGATTGTATTAGAAGGAACAAACAATGGAATGCTATCCACCCTCGCACACCCCCCATTCGATGGGTCAGATGCTCTTATTGTGGAATCTAGAAATAGTTAGCCGAAAGATAGTCTCACCTTATATCCAAGCTCACAATATTTTTGTAATTCAAATCGTCGTGTCTAAATTACAATTGAATAGTAATATTTTTATACCTCAAATCATAACTTTTTATTCTATGATGATGCAAAAAAAAAAAAAATCAAGTTGAAGTGCTTCGTGGAGTTTTTACGGAAATGTAAAGAGTACAAGTTGAAGAATTTTCTTTAATTTGTCTCACTTTATTATGTGCAAAAATTGTAGTTTAAATTAACTAACGATAGTGATTAACATGACCAAACTACAAAGACCACTTTGTTTGCTTAAAAGTTTCTAATTTGTTTCACTATGGTTCCCATTATTTCAGTTTTCTCACTCTAGTCCTTCGACTGTTTATATAATTTCTACCAAATGACATTATTGTATCTTTGATTGTATATAGCAATAACACAAGGGTGACCAAATTACCAGGTAAAAGGGGTGGCCCCACTTACCAGGAATAAAAAAACCAGGATGGCCCACCCCCAGAACATTTTCTTTCATTTTATTCTTCGGTTGGCTCTTCATAATAATAAAAAATGTGGTCCATGGTAATGTATATTCTTGAACAACTCCTATGTTTATATCATGCCCATGTACCATGAATACTTTTCACCATTGACAATCAACTTCAGTTAAGCAGCAGTTTTCCTCACACAATCACACACACGGAGAGAGAGAGAGAGAGAGAGAGAGAGAGATGGCAGTTCAAAACAATGGGAGCTCAAAGTCCTTCGTTAAGATCCCTGAAATAAAGTTCACCAAGCTGTTCATCAATGGAGAATTTGTCGATTCAATAGCAGGTAACGTACTCTTCTTTCTTTCTTTGTCGCATCCTACTCCTCTTCCTCTTTGATCACACATACAATGAATCGGATACATCCATGATCACATCAAGTGTTTTGAAATTGGCTCTGGATAAGTTCGAAGTAGTTGGTGTGGGAAGGGTAGGGGATACAGGAGAGTTGGAGTGAGAAGATCGAAGGACAACAGGAAGATCATTAGAGATTCCATAGTTGGGTAAGAAAAGAAAGGTGGCTGCTGTTGATCCTGCTTTTCCATTAGTCTTAGGAAAAAGGTTACATTAAAAAGCATTTTTGTGCGTGCAAGATCTTGCACAATATAAAAAACGAGAACAGATCTCTCCTTTGGTGAACTCGAGTGAGCCGGTTGAGTGACCAACCACGCTGCTTGGAACAGCCTGCGAGGTCCGGTGGTAACCTGGAACGGCAACGGGAGACCCTGGGGGAGCGGAAGAACGATCCAGTAAGGCTGAAAGAGGTCCCTGGAACAAAGAAGAACAAGTTAGAAGGGCGCCGGAGTGTTTTCCGGCGTATCCCTCCAACGATCTAGTCAGTCTTTGAGAAAGAGAGAGGAAGGAGAAAACACTGAGTGTGTATTGTAGTAAAGAGTTTTTCGTTGCATACCCGTCTTGCCTTTTGCAAGGAGTATTTATACCTCAAAAGCTCATGATTGCTGTCAGTGTAGTCAATAGGTGATCATTAAGTACAGGCAGTGTGCGCACTGATTCTGATGAGGAATGTCTTCTCTTCTTAACTGCTCGGGGTCCCGAGCAATCAATGCTGGGTCATCGGCATGCCGACGGTACAATGTACTCCTCTCGGGGAGGATGCAATAAATACTCTGTATTAGGAGCATTTATTGCCTTTCATTTCCGAGCCTTACCGCATTGAATGCGGTCTCATCAAGGGAATGGTGTAATTAATAGTTTGTTTTCCCAAGTCGCGTGTCAGCAACGGCATGCGATTTCTCTGTCTTCGATGTGATATCATACGCCACGCGTCCATCCCCTATTGGCTGTGGCCCCTGCATTCCAGTACGTTCTGACACTAATTGTATAAGATGAGGTCATGATGAATAGCTTAGACTAGCCTAGGCTAATGACCTGTACGTCAATAGCTTATCCTAGAGTAGAGGAGGCGTCCAGGACGGGGTACACCTCGGCACCGAGGAAAGGCTCATCTCGGAACCAAGGGAGGGACACCGACCGAGGTACCATATCAGACCGAGGCTACGTGTTGGTTGTAAAACGTACTGAATACCATGATCCTATATGAGGAGTACCTCGGGGGTGAGGACCTTTATGCGCTGATGGTGCTTGATCTTAGCAACAGTGTTTTGATAATACCGAAAACACGTGTCTTCATCATGGATCATTTCAGAAAAGTTCTATCAATTTTGATGCTTTTTCTTTCTCCTTTCTTTTTTTTTCATTGATGACGGAATGACTGAACTTCCCAATACTTACTCACTAATATTGGGAAGTTCCCAATACTTGTAGAGGGTCTATCACTCTACAATAAATCCGAAATCTTACTCACTAATATAGAGAATCTCTTAAAGAGTTTTTGTTGACGATTCTCCTTACCTAGGCATTCTTAGAGATGAGACTTCTCCTGTGATTAGGGAACTTGCCGGTGATATATGGAAGATGAGTAAGTAAAAATTGCATATTTATTGAGAAGTTTCTGTCTATAATTGGTGGAGAGATAGATAGGCTTTGTGAGTTTCATTACATAATTAATTCCATCTTCCTAATTCTATCATTTCTTTCAATTCCTTAGTCTACATGGTAATAATGTATAGTCCTATAACCCTGGTAATCTTTTTGTTTTGCCATAGTTAAAGAGTTCTTGCCAAAGTTCAGAATCTCATGGCTACAACTGTTTGACTAGCTGAATAAATTAGCAGGATTATAAAACAAAGAGGTTACGTTTTTTCCACATGATTTTCTTTAAATAATCAGAATGTGTATCTATCACCCTATATAATGTTACTTTCATATGTGACATATTTTAGCACTGCCCGGTTTTTTTTTTAACTCACACAATGTGAAATCAATAAATTTGATTGATTCAAATTGACATGACCAATTAGGATGAATAATAGATACATTTTAGTTTCAAAAATAAATAACATAATTTTAACATGACAAATACTTTTAATAGTGAATACTAGTTTATGAAAAACCTATGATTGACTTTTGGTTCCAATTATAAATCTGATTTATGAGTTATAATTAAGCTTGATAATTCTGAACACGACTCATGAAACCGACACGGATTTAACAGATTTGGATGTAGTCTTAACGGGTTAACTCGGCACACCCGTGAAATAAATGAACCGATTTCGTATTTAACCCATAAATTCGTTTCAACCCGTTTAACCCGTTAACAATTATAATTTTTTTTTTAAAAAAATTAGGTCTCTCAGTCTTTACCTTATATCACACCTCCAATCTTTTAGACTCATTCAAATTTAGTAATCATTTAATGTTTATTTTTTGTCTTTATTTTTTTGCTCTGCCATGATTTATTGTTATATTAAACAGGTCAAATATGTATAATGTGTAGCAAGTTGATGATTTTTCATATATACTCGAAATACTCTAACTTATTCTCTTATTTAGCGGGTAACACACGGATTGTATCGGGTAACCCATCTAATAAATGATTCGTGTATGAGTGTGATAGTTAGATTCGTTTTTATAAATAAATGGGATATGAATGAAAGATTTTTTGACATAAACCCGTTCTGCCCGATACGAAACTGTTCCGCTTGATACGATTGTCTAAGTCTAGTTATAATTGTCGAACTCTAAAATGATACAATTGATAGATAAACCATATTATAGTTTCGATCATCTCATACGAATAATTAAACAAATGACATCATGATTGACTAGTATTCAAACACGATTATCTAAAATGAACAGGACGGACATTTGAGACAATAGATCCCAGAACAGGGGAAATCATAGCCAGAATTGCAGAGGGAGACAAGGAAGACGTGGATTTAGCTGTCAAAGCTGCTCGTCAAGCTTTTGATCATGGACCATGGCCTCGCCTACCAGGCTGTGTAAGTTTTTCTTTGCCAAAACACACGCACACACACACACACACATATTTATTAAGTTAATGTGCCCATTAGTTCTTTGCAACCACCACCCATTACTTTAATGATTAGCTTTTCTTTATTGTCATCTGGGTTTGTCAAGATGATCTACCTAACCCTCAAAACTTGATACTCCTAACTTTTTCTTACCAATTTCATATGGGCCCATTACAATTAGTTATTTGTTTCTCAATTCTAGAGCTATTGTAGTGGTGATGTGAAATGGACTCCATTAACACTTCATTAATCCTAAGGATAGTTTAAGTGATTAAAAGACGAATTGTAATTTTAAACGTTATGAGATCGAATCTTGATAACTCTTTGGGTCAGGCCATGACGAATAAATCCTAATACCCTAATTCCGGTGTGGATAGCCTTTGATCAGACTAAGAAGAAGATTAAATGAGATATACGTAAATTGAACTGCACACCTATTATCATTGAACCAAAAAAAGAAAAGAAATGGAATCCATTGGCCTACCAGTTGTAGAGTCAAATGCCCCACTGAAATTTCATAAACACTATTTTTGAGGTCCGTTGAAATTTTTGCTTGATTGACACACCTAGACTTTGATTAAAAAATTATCATATTAAATTCCATGACAATTAAAGAGTTCAAGGGCCAATTCCAATTTCTAAAACGTAATGGAAAATTTTTGTAAGTAAAAATAATAATAAAACATGATCGAAGATGGTGATTTGTTTATAGAAATTGACCAACATTTGTTGGCATTTTGGTTCAAATTGAAAGAGGTCAAAATAAAAAAAAAACGAAGGAGATACAAAAAAATGGAATAAACTTCTTCATATTTGTGATGAATTTTCATGTAATTAATTCTTTATCGAAAACTAAAGCGTTGACTCTTTACAATCAAACTAAAATGTTGATGCAACCTCATAGTATAATCTAAGTACAACCGCCTTTCACCTCTATTGAAAAGATATAAAACAAGATTACCTCTAAAAAAAGAAGGTTATGTTTTGTTTCTTGATTCTTACATGCTGCAATGTGTATCTTTATATGACTTTGTACTACCTAAATGTTTCATCTCTTTCGTGACTTTGATTTGATCAGGAAAGGAGAAGAATAATGATGAAATTTGCAGATTTGATCGAGGAAAATATAGAAGAACTTGCCACCTTAGATGCCATAGATGGTGGAAAGTTGTTCGGTTTTGGCATGGCCGTAGACATTCCTTCTTCAGTGGAAACTCTCCGTTACTATGCTGGTGCAGCAGATAAAATTCATGGAGAGACTCTAAAAATGTCAAGGGAGCTTCAAGCATACACTTTGCGTGAGCCCATTGGTGTAGTCGGGCACATTACCCCTTGGAACTTCCCAAGCAACATGTTCTTCATGAAGGTCAGCCCAGCTTTAGCCGCAGGGTGCACCATGGTTGTCAAGCCTGCTGAGCAGACACCTCTTTCTGCTCTCTATTATGCTTATTTGTCCAAGCTGGTAAGCCTTGAATTTCTATTTGCATGGTTCATTCTCTTGAAAATTGATCACAGTTGCTAGCTAATTTCAACTTAATCCATGAGTGAATTCATCAAATCAGCTTGCTTTAATACTCATTTGACAATTCTTTCACTAATGTACTTATGTTCTTTTTCTGTGTCTTGGGACTGAATGGGGGGCTTTAAACAGGCAGGTATCCCGGATGGAGTAATCAATGTTGTAACAGGATATGGACCGACTGCTGGTGCTGCCATTTGCTCTCACATGGACATTGATAAAGTAATTTCTGATTTACTTAGACTGATTGTACATTACTTGCCAATAGCTGGTCACCGACAGTTTTGTCTTGGTTTGGATTAAAGCTCGTTCGCTTATGAAAACAAACAGAGCTCGAGCTCAATTTTTATCTTTATCTCATGAACAAAACGAGTTGGAGTTATGGCTTGTTCGTCTGAACTAAAATTTAAGGTCGAACACTAATTCGAACGAAAAATATCCTGCGTATGATACCACCTCTGTAATTTCTCTTTTTTGCTTTGGCTAGGTTAGTTTTACAGGGTCCACAGAGGTTGGACGTCTAGTAATGCAGGCTGCAGCAATGAGCAATTTAAAACCTGTCTCCCTTGAGTTAGGAGGCAAGTCTCCTTTCATGGTTTTTGATGATGCAGATGTTGATACAGCCACGGATCTCGCTCTCCTGAGTACCATGCATAACAAGGCATTTTTCTTTAGTTCCTCTTTCACTTTGAATCATTTTTTTTAACTCAAAAAACACAACTGAAGTGACTTCTTTCGGGTTATTTTTCTAGGGTGAACTCTGTGTTGCTGGTTCTCGTGTTTTCGTTCAGGAAGGAATTTATGATGAGTTTGTGAAGAAGCTGGCGGAGAAGGCAAAAACAAGGGTGGTTGGGGACCCTTTTGATCCTGCTGTTCTTCAAGGACCCCAAGTAATTTCACTTATGCTTTGTGTTATGCACAAGACCACAAACATACAGTCAAATGAAATAAATATACAGGCCTGATCACATAATTAGCCAGTTTCTCGAACATAAGATTTGCCTTTTGGGTATTTTAATGTACCACTCTTTTGTAATGAACACATGCAGGTGGACAAGACCCAATTCGAAAGGGTACTTTCATACATTGAGCATGGGAAGAGGGAAGGTGCCACCTTGTTAACTGGTGGTAAGCCTTGTGGTGAAAGAGGATATTATATCGAGCCAACAATATTTACTGATGTCAAGGTAAACCCTTTTGGCTTCATGGTTGGTAGCATTGAAATGTTATAACCAGAAGAACTCAATGAGCAGTTTCTTTGCCTTGCTCAGGATGATATGACAATTGCAAAGGAAGAGATATTTGGACCTGTTATGTCACTTTTGAAGTTCAAGTAAGTTCAGTTGCCTGTCTTAATAGAGCTGTTAAATGATCCGAATAGCTCGAGCTCAATTCAGTTTTGACTCACTCAAACTCATTTAATTTGAAATTCGAACTGCTTGTCTTGAATAGAGTAGTGCTTATTAATAATTTTGATTTTATTACAAAATAATCCGTCCAAAAAGACAAATTACTCTAAGCTTAACTCCAAATTACTCCAAATCATTTATACCCTCACTCTCTCCCATCACTCTACAGCATATAAACCCTCCCCCACCCCCACCAAACCCCACTAGATTTTTGAAAATTTTGAACTTAATAGTGATGATATAGTTGCTTATACAAATTTAAGGGATTTTCATTGAAAGTTCTATAGTTTAATTTTTGAATTTTTTTTTTTTTGCTGAGAAATTGACTTAGCTTTCGAAATGCTCACAAACTTATGTGAAGTTGAGGTTGAACAAGTTATTAAGCTCGGTAATCAAGCTCCATAATTGAGCTCGAGCTTAGTCAGTCATAACCTGGCTACACTCAAGTTGATTCAATGAAAAACAACTGTCAGGGTCCCTTTGCCTCTCATATATATATATATATATATATATATATGTCTCTGAGGACCAGAGTCCTTTTTGTATCCTGATTAAGTATATCTTGTTTGTGTTAAAAACAGGACCATTGAGGAGGTGATTACGAGAGCTAATGCTACAAAATATGGCCTAGCAGCAGGCATAGTGACCAATGACTTGAACATTGCCAACACTGTTTCGAGATCGATTCGAGCCGGTGTCATCTGGATTAATTGCTATTTTGCAATTGATAGAGATTGCCCCTTTGGAGGGTACAAAATGAGTGGGTTTGGGAAAGACTTGGGTATGGATGCCCTGGATAAATATCTACATGTTAAATCTGTTGCCACTCCCATATATAATTCTCCATGGCTGTGAAACATCCAGTAGGAAACAGAGAGACGAGGGGGAAAATATTCCTGATTAAGTATTCTGTTGGGCTTGGCTTTGAATTTATATATGTACTTTCTTCTTCCTTTCTTCACCCATTCCGTCCCATTTACAGTATGTGTAATAAAAATTCCAAAATGTTTTGGCTCCTTACATGGTATATATGAATTACGTCTGAAGACATCCTCAGTTCGAGTTTTAACAATTTCTCAGGCCTCCCTCGTCAATATCTTAGTCGAGCCAGTGATGATGAAAAGGCAGCCAGGGTCCGCAAGTTTGGTATAAAGAAATTCGTACAAAATTGAGTAGAGGATTGAGATTTGAGGCAAAAAAAAAGAAAAGAAAACAGATCAAATTATCTTACAAGTTTCCCATTTTATTTCGTCACAGAATCCTTACTATAGTACTAACCAAAACAACAAAAGATCAACCCATGGACATGAGAGTCAGAGCAAATTAACCAATCCCAATTTCAACAGCTTTATCTACATACACCCACCTCCATAAATCATAATCATCATTTGTGTTTCAATCCTCTAAGCTTGACGCCAAGAACTCTCTCCATCTTCGCCAAAACTGCCTGGTTCGGCACAGCTTTCCCATTTTCATACTCCTGAACCACCTGAGGCCGTTCGTTGATCTGCTTAGCCAACTCAGCCTGACTCAATTTCTTCTCGATCCTCGCCTTCTGTATTGCCTGTCTCACCTCCGCTGAAACCCGGTCCAACGCCGCCGGTTCGCCGGCCTCATCGAGCTTTCGTGCGTTCACGGCGGTGGATGGAGTTCTTTTGTTTGAACCGGCGTCGAATTTCTTAACGGTCTGGACCTGAGCGCCAGATCGGAGAGCTTGGTTCACGGCCTTGGGGTCGCGGAGGTCTTGGGTTTTGGGCTTGGATTTGTGGAGCACCACGGTGTCCCAATCTTGGGTTATCGATCCTGGGTTTCTGCTCGACATCGTGGAGTAATTTAGACGGAGATTAACAGATAGAGAGAGAGAGAGAGAGAGAACTGTCTGACAAAGACGATGAATCAGTGAAAGGAGACGGGTTTATAAAGAGGTAAAGCCTCTGGAAGTTTCGGTTTGAAATGTATGGGTGGCACCGTGGCAGAGTGGGATAGGATTTATTTTGTGTCTGGACTCTGGAAGGTTCCAGGAGGGTTATCTTATAGCGGGGCTATACTTGGTGCCCAAGAATGGGATTTTAGACGCATCGTTACCCTAATCAGAGAAATCAAAAAGTTTAAGATATATATACTGACATTAATCAAAAAGCTTATTCATGTTTCTCTGATTGAGATGATGATGCGTCTAATACTTTTATCCCATCATGTTTATGTGTACTCGATAATCCTTTATGTTGTTTTGAATACCAATCACGTTGTTGACATTTTTTTTTAACATATACACGTTCTGAATAACTTATGTTTTTTTACAGCTTAATAAACATTAATGTCGACATGATCAACATTACAAATAAAATTTTATTTTTATTTTATATATGCATTTATAATTATATAATAAAAAATTTAATTATATGTATACGTTTTTAATTTTTTAAGTTTCATATGCTAAAAAATATAAGTATATTTAAATTATCAAATTTTATTTATTGAATGTAATTAAATTTTTAAATAAATAAATAAAAATCATCCCCTCAAAAAGAGAGGGAGCAAAACATTTTTAGAAATTAAAATTAATTAGAAATTGATTAAAAATTATATTTATTTGATGTTTTTGTAATATTTTATAAAAAAATACGATAAATTACATAGTTAGTTATGAATTTTATCTCCAATTTCAAGTTAATTCATGAACTTTCACTTGTCTTATTTTAGTTTCTCAACTATCAATGATTTAATTGAAATAAAATTGATAATTGATGGATTAAATTAAAAAAATTAAAATTTTAGGAACTACATTAAAATCCGAGAGAAATAATAGGAGTCACTTATGATAATTTAAAATAGACATATGTGGAGGCAACATTCATTGACGTGATGACAATATTTGTGATAAATATTAATATAATTTTTTTATTTAGGCATAAAGGCAACAGTCCTTTTAAATTATATGGACTTTTGTGGGCTTGGTGTGAGGCGGTTAAATTTTAAAACGAACATATCATTTGGACTGACGCTTCTTCTAAAGACGTCAGTCCAATTGACGTGTTTAAGCAGTATACTGGGTCTTACAATAAGCTTAAAAACGTCAAATCAACTAACATTTTTAAAATGACTTAGATTTGGGAAATATTTTGAAACTCACCTTTTTTTTGAGACTTTCTTTTTTTTTTAAAAGATGGGTCAAAAGCTCGGATACTTGGTGCCCAATGGGTTTTTAAGGAAAGGATCACCTTTTCTTTTAAGTGCGAAATTATAAAATTCAAAAAATTATAATTTAAATACATATTATTTATTAAATGAATGAATCCTATTAATTTTTTAATGAAACTTATCCATTCAACTTTCTTCTTACGTATTTAAGTTATAATTTTTAAAAGTTATTTAAATTGTATAATATTTTTTTTATTTTTTAATCAATAAAATCTCCGTCAAATGCATTAGTTAAATAAGTGAAAAACAAGGTGTTTTTGTAAGTTTCAGCCCCTGTTGTTTGTGGTCAAGCATTTAAGGCTGTTTCCAACTTAGCCTATAGATCGTCTCAAAAAAAAAAATTTCGCTTGGAACGGCTTCACGGGAAGGAGGAGTTGCACAATAGAATTGAACATGAGCTAAACCGCATGAGCCCTCTTTATTGTCAAGTGATAAAGTTTCAATAAAATAAATTTAACAATTGTAATCATAATATTATTAGACTATATCAATATCACGTTATTACGTCAACAAATCAGACGTATCTTTTAAATTATAATAGAATTACTCTTCTTTTTTTTTTTGGTTGGGATAGTTCGGCGAATAGGGTGAGGGAAAGGCCTGATCTTTAAGGCTTGGCTGCTAGTTGGCTCAATAGCCAATTTGTTTTTTTTTTTGAAAACACTTAGAATTTAAATATTTCTTCTAAAATTATGTTTAAGACTCGTTAGGACTGGCCCCTTAGTTGGCTCACTAAGGCCCATTAGTGATGGTCGGGCCAAACAGGCAGTTAAGATCGAACATCAAAAACCCATCTTGTGGTAGTCTTTTGACCAAAAATCTAGGCCGGACAGGCCCATTGTTAACCCTAGCTAAGCTTTGTCCGGTGTTGATCCATGTGTTAGTGGTCTAGTTGAAACGATTTTGTGGATTCCATTTTACTCCTCACGTTCATCCAAAAAAGGCATTGGCCCATTGGGTCGGTATGGTCCAAAGACCACCACCCACTGCACGTCATATGGTTGGTGGTCAGGCCGGCCCAAGATCTAATGAGCCACTGGATAACGGCATTAGCCCACCACTGCACTCAAGATTTGGGAAACTTTTCTAGGAAACTCGTCACTTGGGAGCTACTGAGGGGCGCCAGGGCTCGAACAAAAACCCTAGTTCTTGGCTCTCCATCCCTAAAACCCTAAATAATGGATCAGAGAGAGAACGATGACAATCACAACTCTGTGAATACTAGCAGGCACGAACCAACGAAGATCAGATTCGAATACGAAGATGAAGAAGAAAAAGACGAAATCCTCGAAGAAACGGCCACTGAGAGCTCCAACCTCGAGGACGACTCCGCCATGTGCGAGCCCGAGGAGTCCACCGTCGGTGGCGACAAGACTAGCGCCGACTATTACTTCGATTCCTACTCTCACTTCGGTACACTACATCTCTATTTTTTTTTACCAGTCTCTGTTCTTTGAATTGCTGTTTGTGTATGCATGTATATTTGGATTTATATATGCGCGTTTATGTATGTGTCCATCCACTTCTAATGCAAAAATACTGCCTTTTTTGGTCTGTTTTGGGTGAATAGGTTGTATTTGGTACATCAAGTAGGCCTAGTATTTGTATTTGGAACAATGAAGCAGGGGTTGTGTTGGTACTGTGGGCATAATTAGCGATTAGTAAGATTCAAGTTATCACTCTTCCGTACTCTGAGGTTTTCCTTTTATGGGATATTAGTGTCTTGAAGATTTGTTTTTCCTCCAATGGACTAGGCAAAATTTGAATTCTTGATTATTTTTCACATGTTGCTGCAGACCACCTGACTTTTCAAAAAAAAAACTCCTATCCGTGTCTGTCAGGGTTGACTTGGTGGAGTGAGTGTGTACACCAAATAGAGTATGCAAATTTGTATTTTTGCCAATACTTTTGAATTTTTGCCATTGATATTTTCTTCAAATTCTGACATTAAGGCCCAGATACAAATAGTGCTTTGGGTGGTTTTCTTAAATTTAGGTAGCCATAATTCTACCAGGATTTTGCCATTTCTTGCATATTTTTGTTCACTTTTTGCAAGAACTAACTATTACCCCCTTTTTTATTTGGTTCTTTTTTTTTTTTGCAGGTATTCATGAAGTAAGTTTACTGCAGTTCAATATAAAGCAGTTCAGTGTTCAGTGGTTGTGACCGTTTGTGCACATATGCAATCTGTGGCTTGATTAGAAGAATTCAATCAAGTTCCAGACTTTTCTATAGCTTGTAGTTTTGGTCAACCAAATCCTCAACCCCCTCCACTTCTTCCTCCTGGGAAGTAAGATAAACTTAAAAAATAATGACGCATGCCCAGTTACAAAATTCTTTGCTTTTGTATCCCCTGGCTCTCCCACTCCCTTCAAAAAAAAAAATATTCCCTAATCAAGAAGGGACCCTTCTAGGTACCAATGATTTTTAAAATATCTGCATACTGTACTAGAGAAACATGGATGGTGCTTCTTTAGGTATTTATAAAAAGCCATTGACAATTACCTGCCAACAAAATACAACTTTATTATTTTTTGTTATTACTGGTCTCTGATAGTTTCTTCTGAATTTCAAGTGTCACCTTCTGAATTTTCCCACATTGCAGGAAATGTTGAAGGATTTAGTAAGGACTAAGACTTACCAAAATGCTATTTACAAGAATACCTTTCTGTTCAAGGACAAGGTAGTCCTTGATGTGGGTGCTGGGACAGGAATTTTGTCGCTCTTTTGTGCAAAAGCAGGGGCGAAACATGTTTTTGCGGTATGCATTTCACTTTTGTCCCCTTCTCTTTTGTCTTCTTACTTTTAACTGTGTTCGTGAAGTAATCTCATGACCAATAAAGTCTTATAATTGCTTTTATCAGTTGTTCTTGTGCATATCAATTTACTGTAGCATAGTTTGAACATTGTATCTTGATTCTTGGTACTCTCATCAAGCTGGATTCACAATTTCTCAGCATCTTCTAGCTATCCTGTATTTCTCACTTCCAACTTGACTAGGCCATCTATAATCCAATTCGTTACTTGAAGTTAGGCAAGAAGCTTCTCAATATCTCCTTAACTTGTTATATGTAGGCTGGCTGTCTTTGTGTCTTTCATTCATCTTGCACCCTATCAACTAATCCAGATGCGCTTTCAGGTAGTGGCAAATTGTTTTTAAAAGAATCAAATAGTTTCCCTGGAAATAGTGCTTGGCTTTTTATGCTAGCTGCTCTACTCAGAATGTAGGAATCCTGAGACTTGAATCAAGCTTTAAGCTTGATCTGTTTATGACAAGACCTCTATCTACACTCGCTGAAAGAACATATTTTGTAAGGTTCAACGTTTACAAGGGGTCTAGTTGCCTATATCATTATATCGCCAAGCCAGTTGATGTTTTGTTCAATTATTAGTCATATGCAAGCTGATGTGTAGATAGTAATAGTAGGTGTATCTCTGATCTTCTTCGTACTTCCTATTGAGATTGGCAGAGATTGTATGGTTATTTGTTTCTTATCCTTAATTAAAGAATTTCAACTTTGGTTCTTATAGTGCTTGATAATAGACACTTCAACATGTCTTCTATTGAACATTGTTGTTATTTCATGAACCATGCACATAGCTTTGCTTTTTATGCTGTCATCATATTAGGGGTTGTGCTTCCTTATGCACTTCTGAAATTTAGTGTGGGCAGGTCTCATAGAAATGCTTCTAGCCTGTATTTAAGAGTGTTATACTGTCATTCTATTGACCTAATCAGTTATTTAGACCAGATTGGTGCTCAAGAAATTAGCGACACTGTTGGCCATATGTATTTCACTAAACTAACTTGTCATAACCTGGATGCATACATGTAAATTGCTCTATTAGGGTTTTTGTCATAGTGGTTATTGGCCGGGTT